TAAATGAAGTTTCTACTCCAAATAATTTTCTGAAATATAAACATTTAAACAGTGGTTGTGGTGATAACTTGTTTTCATGACATTTGTTCAAACATTAAATACTGAAAACCGGATTACATAAGACATGATAAATTTCATTAAGTTGTACTGTATCGCTCAACATACTTTATGATGCTTACTCACGTTTATTTCATGTTATAACTAGCAGTAAAGAGGAAGATGATGTTTGTAATCTAGCTTGTAAGACACTGGCTAGCTAGTACGCTAACTGACGGTTACAGTAAAGCTCGTCAGTAAAAACTAATAAAATCTGCCTGTTCTTTTCCTCAAAAACGATAGCACACACTGTGACAATATAGTTTATAAGTAGACCACCAAAAACTTACCTAATCTTGCGGGCACATTTCAAACACGATCTGACTCTGAAGTTCAGTTAGTTGTCTTCTTCTGGTGATGTTTTGTTTAAACCAACCTTCTGCCACCTACTGGTGCACTTCCGCAACCTACTGGTCTAGACTTATTAGGGCACATAGTGGGATTGGGGAAATTTATATATATATATTTTTTTTTTACGTCGTCACCAATCACATGTACACGTTCACATTGCGCATACGCAGGGACTCCCAACACATTGAAGAAATTAAAATAGCAGTAGCAGAACACATACATTTTTTTGTCATATGCTGCAATTACCAAAATCCAGTAAATAACTAGTAAGTTATTAATATAAATATGATGATTTGAAACGCTCTACTGGATTATGAGGCAGCAACAGCTTGTGGGCAAGCCAAAAAGCTGAAATCTGAAAAAGCTGACCAGTTATGTTTACTCGCTTTTCTTAAGTAGATTCAATGATTACTTTTTACAGGGGTTTTTATGTAGAGTTGTCATTTTATTTAACCTGTTTACTGTCACGGGCCCACCGGTGGGCCCACTTGCCATTACATGTTTTAAACAGTAATATCTTAGTCTGAACCTAAAGTAATTTTGACAAACTATATATCGTTTGAAAGCTTAAAGACTCTAGTTTTGATATTTGCTGACTGATTTTTGGAATAGTTTACAGAGCAACTGTAATTTATTAATATGCAAGAAGAGTACTCATCAGAGTCAGAGAGTGCGTTCTGACCTTTACTTTGAAATAGTGATGCACATATGAAATCACGAAAAATCTGTAAAAATCTTTATTCATTTTCATGGAGAGTGTTCAAAAGATAACATCCACTCTATTTTTTGAGAAAAAAAGGTCTAAAAGTGTTTTGAATATATAGAAAAAAACAATAGATTCTCCATTTTTAATGCATTGTGAACTATAACGCAAGTCCAGGGTTCTCGTAGCATGTATTTTATGTGTTTTTTTGAGGTTGAATTGAAATCAAATACTGCCATACTGCCCTTAATACTTCTGATTGTGATGTCTACTTCATAAATATTGAGAAAAGTATGGAAAAACATGTTTCAGATCACTCAAACCATATATGGAAATGAAGGCTCCCTTAAATGGTTACTAATGGGGTTTGATGGTCATCTAGGGGAAAAGCTTGGTACTACGCCCAAACAAAATCTCACTGAAAGCCAATTTTTTGAGATATCAACCTCAAATTGGGAACATAACTTGTTCAGAACTTTGGTTTTTATTTTTTTTTTAGCAGATTTAGAGTAAAACATGTTTTGTAAAATATATATTTTATATAAAATATAAATATTTAAATTATTACATTTTATATTTTATATTTTCATTAACTTAAACTTCCATAACTTTTTTGTAATAAAATATTTATAACTTTCTTCTACTATTACTACTTCTACAATAATCTGCCAAGTGTCTTCTTTAAAAAGAGACCAACCTTAAATCTGTGGTCCAAAGCATTCAAAATTTATAACAGTTTAAGTTGGAAATGTCATTTTCAGGTCTACGCTCAAAAAGTGGAACCGACAGTTAACAGATTAAACAGTATTTTATATATGGTTGGAGCCTATGTGTTATGCAACACCAACTGAACAAATAAAGCACTAAAATATTAATTTAATAGTTAATTTAATAAAAAAATTGCTCATTTAAAATCCTTCTGACTTCAATGAGATTAATGAGATCTGACTTCTAGAGGTTTAAATTAATTTGATGGCAAAAAAAATTATTACATGAAAAGAATGGTAATGGGAAACAGACCCAGTTACAGACAGGCGATCTCTTTACTCTGAAGAACAAAACTGCTGAGAAATGTCTGATGGATATTACTGAAGCTCGACTATGAATGTTTTATAAACACCTGCTATGTGGTGTCACCTTTGCATTCTGTTTTAAATATTCTGATGTCCCCATCAGCTAATCAGTTCATTGGCCCGTGTTGCTCATATCAGCAGTAAAGCTGCTCTCTGGTAAGGTTTGCCAGATTCAGTCACATTAAGTTGTACACATCCATCTCATGCATATCACATGAAACAAAAGATGTTTGATCCCCAAAACTGCAATTATACACCTATGATTAAGATAATGATTTTACTTCAAAATGTAAATCTTCTTTTTGTGTCAAGGTCAATGCATTGGTAATTAGTATTTTCATTCAGTCTTGTTTGCATTTCTTAATCAAATATTTGCTCACTTTAAAGAAACCGTTCTCATGTCATTCAGACTGCTGATGACATGATCTGTTAAAATAATCAGTGTTACTGGGTACTGGCATTGTTATTGCACAGATGCAAGTAAATCTACAATGTGTGTGTCACTGCCACAGGCACGAATACATTCATATTAAAGTAGATCACATAACACGTGTTAAAGGTTTGCTGCGCATTTACAGCTAAAGTCTATGTTTGTGCTGATGAGCAGCAAGGACATTCCATCTGGGAACTATCCCATCATCCTTTGCAACTCTAACCAAACAGAAGGCCCTGAATTGCTCATAAATTCATGATTCCTTAAAGGAATAGTTTACCCCAGGGGTAGGCAAGTTCAGTCCTAGAGAGCCGCAGACCTGCAGAGTTTAGCTCCAACCCTAATCAAACACACCTGAACAAGCTAATCAATGTCTTCAGGATTACTAAGGCTATAGGCAGGTGAGTTTTGTTTCCAGGGTTGGAGCTGAACTCTGCAGGACTGCGGCTCTCTAGGACCGAACTTGCCTACCCCTGACCCAAAGATAAAAATTCTGTCATCATTTACTCACCTTCATGTAATTCCAAACCTTGAATTCTTCCTGGGACTGTTGAAAAAGCTTGTGTGATCAAACAGTCCAAACTTTAAGCTGTTATTCACTGATATTTATCTTTTTTTATATATATTTTTTAAAAATCACCTTTTGTGTTTCACAGCAGTAAGTCGGTCATTCAGGTTTGGAATAACATGAGGGCGAATAAATGCTTACACAATTTAAATTTTTTGGCAAACTTTAAGTGAAAATGTCTTGCACGACTCTTCTCATACTTTCTCATACAATGAATTTCTACAACTTTTCCAGTCATTCAAGATACTGTAATGTATTCTAGATAAAGACTTACTTCGAGCAATTATCTAGCAAATAGGCCTAAAATATTTTAGAGAAGAGCATAAATATGATAAAAATATTATTTTATTTTATATATATATATATATATATATGTGTGTGTGTGTGTGTGTGTGTGTGTGTGTGGTGTATGTTGCCCACACTGTTTGTGCTCAGAGAACCTTGTTTTTGTACTTGAATTAGTTTTTGAGAAGCACTGTTATAATTATTTTTTGAAATTACTACCCCAAAGCTGTGGTAACCGATTGTTACCAGTCCTGAGAGAGATTATGTCACTCCCCACAGGCTGGTTCAGAATCAAAATGGGTTGTGAAATGGGTTAGGTCTTATGGGTCACACATTCGCTGTTCATGCCTGCCAGACTGTTTCTAAACTGAGGGGCTTCTGATCTCTCAAAGACTTGCAATCTCCACTCAGAGCTTAGTAGCACCAACAAACAACACATTTATCACCTCTGAAATGCTGCAGACTTAAAACACTAAAGACTGCAGAAGTCGCACAGCAGGAGACCTTCTCAAACAAAAATCCCTCCATATCACCAGATCAAACTCACCTGCTTACTTTGCCACAGTAAGCTGATCTGCTTCGTTCCTCCCCTGATAACATCAACTATCTCGGACATGTCTGAAACAATCCCAGCCTACATTCAAGCTTTGCCTTGAAGACATAGAGAGACATTCAATCACCTGGGCACAGTTACGCTCTTTCAACGTCAAAAGCTGACGTCCTTGCCATTATTTCTACCTCTCTGAGAATAAGCAAGTCTTTAAATAGCAGCCCTGCATTTAATCATCCACTCACGATTCAAAAGGAATGATGAACCTGGCCTTCTGTCAGAACATTGACATTGGAGACTGAGGCTGCAGCAATTTGATCTATGCATCACTACTGCATTGAGAGTTTAGAGTTGCCAATCATTTTTTAACTGAATCATATCTTAAATTTGATGCATAATATATATGGCATATATAAATTTGATGGAAAAATTTAAGGGGGTCTGAATACTTTCCGTACCCACTGTATATGCTATACATATATGATGCATGAAAAAATATGTGATTCATCAAATTTATATTACTGAATAATATATTACATTTTACTTTTAAATATAATTATATATAAATATCATTTAAATATAATTGATTGAACTATACCAAAATGTTAAATTGAAAGCCCTACACTGTAAAAATAAATCCGTAAAATTTACTATAAAAAATCAGCAGCTGTGGTTGCCGGAATTTTACCGTAAAAAAGACTATAATTTCATTATCTGATATAATGTATACCAACCTATTGAAGTACTGAAATCTGTTTTGTACCTTTGCAATACACTGATAACCACCAGATGCAGGTGGTGATGAGAAAGTCACATGATGAACTTTTAAATAATAACATATATAGAAGGTGCACAGTGTCATTCACAAAAGCGCTAAACACCATCATGGTAACATACATTAAACTGAAATAATGCAATAAACATTCATTTAACAACATTAGGTGTAACACACAACCCTAATATACAAAACTGATAAGAAAAAACTAAGAAGAAACAGTTATTTCAACAAAAAACATTAAATTTGAAATGTAACGCAGGGAATTCTGGGAATGTCAATTTACGGTTATTCACTATAAATTATACGGTCTTTTTCACTTCCAAAAACGGTATACTACCGTACAATTAATGTCCAATACATGTAATGTCCAATACAGTTTTTCACCGTATAGTAGGGGAATTTACCGTTAACCATTTAACAGGTTTTTAACTGTAGCATTTTTACAGTCTTTTACCGTTAAATTCACGGTCATTTTTTACAGTGTACTCTTCACATTTTGGAAGCAACTTCTTAAAAAAAATCTCTGCAGCAGAAAAATTAGTGGTAGATGTTTAGTGTGTTGTGCTAACTTCCTATATGATAGACGGTAAAGTGTGTGCTGCATGTGGGTGGAACAGTTGGAGCTGTGTTGGGATGGAGAGAGGCATGTGATGAGACAATGCAAGTTGCAACCCCACTGTTACTCACACAGTCACACTCTCTTTGAGAAAAGTCGAAAGGCTACTGACAGAGGTGCTGACATGTTCTGTGGGTAAAAATAAAACATAATAAACTAACACACTCAATGCACCCAGACATGTTTGTGAGAGTCTTGCAAACACAGCAGGTGTGATGTGTCAGATTACAATATGAATTGCATTGCATGATTAGACCACATGCAACATACAACAATGCAAGAATGTGAAAATCTCATTACATTAATACGAAACATTATGCTCCACAGACTTGAATAAACAGGTATATCTAGAGACCATTTGGGTTTGATTTGAAGAGTCAGGTTGTCAGGACTGTCAGCTAAGGGTCTCTCTCTACGCCTTTATTCTTTTTTCAATCAGTCTCTCTCTGTTTAATTCATGGTAGAAGACAGACTATGGATACATGCTAGTCAGGCTAAACCACAACGTTTGTCCATAACTAACTACTTAACATAGATGACTATACAAATGGCACATTAATTTAAGCAGCAACAAATATTTGCAATGCTAAGGGTTGAAATTATTGGTCTGGGAATGATACTGGTCAACATGTTGTCAAATGGCTCCATAGCAGAGCCAGTTCACCAGTTACATTATGTATGCTGTCAAATCTGACACATCTCGCTTGAGAGTTGAACAGGCTGGGTCTTTTGGCTCACTGTATGCCTGCCTTCTTGGCCGGATGCTTCTTCTCTGTGAACAGCACTGGTTCTCATAGTCATGAGTTAAATTTTCTCCAAGAGCAAGGTGCGATCTCTGCTCACACACAGGGGGTTTTTGAGTCAGGGCTTCTGTTACTGTATTAGTAGTTTTTCAGTTCAATGCAAGTCTATAACCTCATATTCAGGATGGTGGAAGCAAATGTAAGAAATGCAATTTGTATGTTCTACAGCATGGAGTAAGGAAAGTAAATTAAATTATATTTTACTTAGATTTTTTTTAATCAAATAGCAAATACAAGTTTATCCATAACTACAAACCAAATGTTGGTCATAAACCAGCTACAGCTGAATGACAGCTTAATTTATGCAAAATTTGCATGGCTGTTTCTCTCTCGCTCTCTCTTTTTTGCATAGGTGTATTTATTTATTACTTATATATTCTAATGGTAATGTTAATTTAATGCTTTTGTATTAAAATTATGGTTTCAAACTACATAGAAAGTGAATAGTGCATAAAACAGCTTTTTACTGACGAGCTGTTGGAAATAAAATATATATGCAGGCTACATACATACACACACACACACACACACATATATATATATATATATATATATATATATATATATATAAAAGAGTTTCAAACTTATTTTGTATAATATTCTTGGAAAATGTACAATTAATCTATGCATACAAATGTGTTTCTAAACAGACTACTAACAGCTAATTTGTAAATCTGGATAAGTAAAACTGGATTGAGAATTACCATGTTGTTCACACCATTTAAGAGCAATGAAAAACCAGTAAGTATACTGTATTTAAAAACAGTAAGTATATTTACATAGTCTCTTTCAACCACCTTTGTCTACAAGACGGTTGCTACAATATAGAATGAAGACTTTACTAGGATGTTACCAAGTAACAATTACGCTCTAATAACACTAATTAATTAGTGTAAATAGCACCTGCGCTTCACCTGTCTTGCTAATATCCCATTTACATGAGAAGCAGCGGTGTTTACTGCAGTCACGAATGAGCCCGGAATAGCCTGGAATCTGTCATCACACACAGCACTTATCTAGCCTACATTAGTCTTATACTGATATTTATTATTAGATATTGTTCGAATTGTTTAAACAGAATGAATATCCATAGCTCTTTCTACACTGACCGAAGACTATTAATAAACTACATGGTTAATCTGCTGCGGACAGAGCCGCAAAAATTGCGCTTTGCAAAGTTTCCTACCTTACACCAATATTTGTCGACCAACTTGCTCCTGCTAACTGGGAATATGCCAAACTGGAGACTGTCCGTGGTGATATTTGTAACTTAATTAAGAGGTTACTCAGCTTTTGCTGGACGAGCTGTTTGTAGCGCGCTCCGGAGATGCTGGTGGCTTTGACTCGGCGAGCGCGAGAGAAACTCTCATATCTGTGGAGTCCTGAAGATTGCATTACTCAGTGCTCCATCACTCCCCTGTAACCAGGTAACGGCTCTTCCGCAAGCACACGCCAAGGGAAAGTAGGCGTGATATAAATCACTCCGGTACCCGTTAGCCTGTGTGTGTGTGTGTGTGTGTGTGTGCGCGCGTGCGCGTAGAGGTTTGTTGTCGATTAAGTGCACGGCGTGCTTGCACACTCAAAAATCTTTCGTGCACAAGACTACTGGACAGATCATTTCAGTTAATGATCCCGAATGAGAAGCGTCAGATTTTTCTCTCAGGCAAAACAATGTATTATACAGCTGGTATTATGTTTGATAGACCAATGTGAAACCCTTAAGTAAACTTTGTTACAGCTTTTGAATTCTGAATTCTGACATAAGCAACATTTTCAGTGTTTTTGAATCTATTATAGGCTACAATAATCATTACATGCACAAGTAGGCCTATATTCCACTATAAACCATAATTTTCATATTTTGATCATGCAAGCATCATATAAACGCATTAAACAGATTCTATTACCAGATAAAGGAAAAATTGCGATGTCTTTGTTTTTTTGTTTTTATTTTCAAATTTTGGGAACAAGAAATTTTGCCCAATATACACCTTATTTGAGAAATAATTGCATCTGTGCATTTCTAAACAAACATATTTTTTTAATGATATGATATTATATTACATTTAAGCAGAATATAGATCTTATTTGGAAAATGATGTTCAAAATGTGGTCATTGAATGTAGTGAAAGCCTCAGGGAACAGATTTGTATTGTTTACATTTAAATATTGACAACGTCTGACCTGTAATTTGCTCTTCTGATATATGCAAATATTAAGATATGCAATAAAATATGCAATTATTCTTACATAATAGGGTCACTTTAAAATAACTATAGAAAATTCCCTTATACTTTTGAATTTCTTCTTGAAAACACTAGGTACATAATGCAGTAGTAATGACTGATATAGATCCTAAATGAGCTATCTGGGATCAAAAAGGTCACAAAGGATGAATCTGTGATACCTAGATCAGCTGTCAGCCGCATGAGTATAAGAGAGCCATCAGACAGTTAATGGAATGAGTGATCCGCTCAAGAGGTTAAAAATAAAAGGATTTTCACTGAAGAGTCATACCATATAATGCATGCACAAGAAAACACTCTCACTGAGTGTTTGAATGGTTGGAGACTTTGAAAGCACATGCTACCAGGTAAGAATGGAAAGGTTGCTAGAGTTAACAGCTCTTTAAATAATTCTATCAATTTCACCTTTCAAATTTGGCTTCATTACAGGAACTTCTAGTAAGGTTATGTTTTAAAATCTAATAATTATAATAATAATTACTCATTTAAGTGCTGTGCTAAAAATCCTTTAATTTTGTGTTCCAAATCAAAAAGAGACTGGCCTTTAAAAATAATTATTGTAAATTTATTTGCTATGCTATAACCAAATGTTGGATCCAATCTTTTTGTCAACAAGTTTTCTTTCAATTAGCAGAGGTTTTGTATTTCTTTTTTAGAACGGATTGATCGAAGGCTTTATTGATCTGAGCACCTCTGTTTTTGAGTAAAAAAAAAAAAACTATATATATATATATATATATATATATACATTTTGTGGATAATTTTTTGCAAAAGTCAGCATATGCTCAGATCAATGAGGCCTATGATCAATCAGTTTTAAATCCAATATTTGGTAATAATATAGCATAATGATCAATTTATAAGCAATTTTTTTGAATGCCGGTCATATTTGCATATCTGTGAAAAAAGCCAGTAAGTATTTTTGGAAAAAAGAAAATCCTCTCTTGGTCAAAATGGCCAGAACACAACACAACACGAGGGTTAAAGATTTAGATGTGTTGTTTAGCAACCCTAGTGAATGCATGAGAAGATTGCTTCTCTTCCTTCATAAGCGAGCTAAAACTGGTCCAACTCTGATGTTGTGCCATCAAGATTATGTCACAGGATGCAGGAAATCAATAGCTCATTACTTACACTTGACTTAGGGATCCCTGCCTTGTTTATTCGCCATATCTTTGGCATTTCAAAACTGTTGATGACTTAACAGCAAATCCCAGAGGTGTTCTCTGAGAATCCATCAAAACCTGGGCAACCATAAACAACCATCCATGCCAATTTAAGCATACCATTAGTGGCTTGTCCGAGTGTTAGTTCAGAGGTAGACTGACCGTCTTTTG